TCATTGTACATTGCTTATCCTAGCTCATATATTCTTGTTATATTTCATACTTGCTAGGATAACTTATTAATTAATTTTAATTGGCATATAATCGGATTAGATTAGCATAAGACCCTAATCACCCCCTCTAGGGTCTAACAGAGGGTTCTAGCCTCTTGGCTATTTAACAAAAAAATAAAATCTAACTACAAGCATAGAAATAAATCTAAATTTAACAAAAAAATAAAATCTAACTACAAGCATAGAAATAAATCTAAACTAATAAGCAATAAAAGAGAAAAAGAAAGAAATGCAAACCTTCAAATAATTATCCATCTTCATCTCCATCTTCATCATCCAACATAGAGAAGAAGAGAAAAATTTAAAGTGGTGAAAAATTATTATTATTAATTGTAACTAAAGTTACAATTTTGGAATGTCTTCTCAATTAAGAGTAGCCCTCCTCTCCAAAAGGAGTTATAAAAATTTTCACACCCTCAACCCCTCACTCTCTACCCCTATTTATAGTAATCTTCAATGAATATGAGCCATTGGATTTGTCTTGAGCCCCAAACAACAATCTCCACCTTTGAATTTGTTTTTTGTTCTTTTCTAGCCTAAATATAGGAGGCCCAATTGATCCCTTGCATCCAATGACATTTGATTAAATGCAGCAGTCCAAGGTCCACATTTGATTTTTGAAAATAAAAATCAAGCCCAGTCCGGTCATGAAGCAATTTCCAGCAGCCAAAGAAGGTCCGGCCTATTCAGCTTCATTTGATTTTTAAAAGAATCAACAAGTCTGGCCCATATCCTCATTTACTTGATTAAAATCAACTGCAGCCCATGTCCTCTTGTGCACATGTGAGTTTCAAAACAACTCCAAGTCCGGCCCATAGCATTAAATCCCAAGTCTGCAGCAAATTAAAAGCAAAGTCAGGCATTTGATTTTCAAGTCCAAAGTCCAGTTCTTGATTTCATTGATTTTCAAAAGAAAACTGCAGCAAGGTCCACATCCATTTGATTAAAGCCCATGTCCGGTCCTTGATTTCATTGATTTTCCAAAAGAAAAAACAAACAAGTCCGGCCCATTTTGATTTTTGAAAATCTGCAGCACAAAGTAAAAGAAGTCCGGCCCAAGTTTTGTTTCTCATTTTCCAAACTCAAGTCCATTCAAAACCCAGCTGCAGCAACTTGTCCGGCCTTTTCTTCAAAATCAAAGCATCCAAATTGAAGAGCTAGTTAATGGAAATCAACCACAACAATCCGGCCCAACTCAAATGAATGTCCGGTCCAAGTCTGCAGCAGTGATTTTTTTTGTGAAAATCCACCAAGTCTGGTCTTCAAAGAAATGATTTCATGGTCCTTTCTCCATTTTAATCAGCAGGTAAGTCTCCGGCCCATGAGTGAATTATTTGTTGATGGGCCATCATTTGCTTGATTTTTTTGTCCAACTATGCATTAGTTCGGTCTCAAAACTCTTTTGCATCCAAGTCCATTTCATTCCACTCTTTGCATCCAAGTCCATTCTAACTCTTTGGTGTATATATATTTTTTTAATGGGCTTTGCTCTTTGGGCTTCAATTATTTTCCTCTTTTAAGCTTTTGCTTCATGGGCTTCTAAAATGCTACAAAAATAGAGAAGAGAGATTTTGAGGGGTTTTTTACATTTAATAATATTTATTTATATTTTTATTCAATTATGTGGAAACTAAGCTAACAACAATTATTAATGGTATATTTATTCATGTAAAATAGATAATGAGGGTATAAAATTGTAATAAAATGTGACTATCAACTAGATAGCTAGTATTAAAGATAGACTTAATGAGTTGACAATCACAAATAAAAATTAGAAATTAATTTGTAATTCGTAACTTTTATTTTTTTAACTGTAAATGTGCTATAAACTATTTTGAAAAAAGTTATAAACGATAGTGATATAGACGAGTATGTGTCAACCTAGTTGGGATGTACTTATCTATTGTAATGCGACAATTTCCAAAAAAATATAATTATTAATGATTAATAATAAATAATTTATTTTTTTATCAAAGTTCTATGATCATTGCAAATTGTATAATTATAAATGATTAATAATAATATTGAATTTTTATCAAAATTTTGTATATTCTATTTAGCCTTGAAATTCTATTTTTTTTAAAAAAAAAAATCTATTTTTAAGTACTTTTTCATTTTTTACAAAAAAAAAGAACAAAAATTTGGTCGGCCCCGTTCCCGGCCCTGTTTGACCCGGGATCGGACCCGAGCCCGGCCCGGGCCCTCCAGGTGTTGGTCTGGGCTAGAGGGTCAGGGTAGGCATTTTTCCTAACCCGGACCCGAAAAGAGGATTGAATAGTACATGTATAACTAAAAGGGGACGGAAAACGTTTAAAATGTGCAAGCAAGAGAAAGTGATACTGCTGGCATCATATACACCACAAACAATTCATCATTAAATTACCATTTTGCATTTAGTTTGAATCCAAGTTTATCATGAGCTGGAGTCAAAATACACTTTAAAATAGCATGTGTATATACTACTAAAAACATAGACCCTTAAGTTCTAGCATGATTGTACATTTGACAGAGAAATAAAGAGCACGCAACAAATATGTATATTGTAAGAATGTTGACCCACCAAAACACAAGGAAGTCCAAATTAATTTCAGTCGCTAGCTGGGTAACCTCGTCCTGATTTTTGGTTCAGCTTCTCCATCACCACGTACAAAGCATGTGTTTCATAGACAGAATAATCTTTTCAACTTCTTCGAGAGCCTAATACGGAAATGCACGCATCAAAAGGATATATTAATCCGAGTTGCATGTATATATATATGTGCACAGTATCAATCCTCACTAGCAAGCAGAAAGTAAGAAATGATTCTCTTGGAGGTTTTATAGCATTGAGTTGGGAGAGAGTAACTGACTACATTTTTTTTAACGACGAGGATATTATTTTAAAATAGCCTCGACCCACCTTTTTAGCCCTTGTTTGTACATTGTAATTCTGGTTATATAATATTAGTGCTGAATGTTGTAGCCCCCATAAAAACAAACGCTAGTTTGGACTATTTTAAGTTAGTCGAAATGTTAGTCCGTAAGAAAACAAACATTGCATTAAGACTAAAGTAGTCACAGTATAATGCAATTCGAGTACTATGGTCCGAGGAATATAGTACCTCCTAGTTCAGGGATAAAAAACAAACGTGGCCTTAGAGGAAAGAGAGACACCACGGAGAAGGAATGTGAGAATGGGCTTTGCTCTGACAAACGGGTCTATATAGGTCTAAACGCGTTGGTTACAAATGAGTTTGGTTTCATGCAGTTAAATATTAGGGGTATAGTGGGAAACTAAATATTAGATAATAAATTTAACAGAATATTCCATTAG